TGATAGATGTGAATTCTAAGATGCATTTGGGATCCAGTAACTGAGAAGGACAGAGGATGACAGTGGCCCCATGGGTGGGCTAGCTTTTTGGGTCCGCCACTTCTTAGTTCTATGATCTTGATCTAGGGACTCTACCAGTCTGTTTTTGCATCTTCTCTATTCAGTGAGGATAAGAACACTATTTTAGAGACTTGTTTGAGTTTGAAGTGAGTTAATACAAGCAAACTGCCTAGTACCAAGTCTGGCACATGGTAAATACTCAAATAAAAGTTAGCTATTGTTATTCATTTTATAGTTCCGCAATGGTGGGTGAGTTACAAATTTGGATCCTCAGATACGGAATAAACTTATGCCCTGTGGTACTTACTGATTAGCATCTGCCTGACCCATGACCTCTAGAGAAGCACTGCAAGAATAATTGATTGATGGATTGAAGGGCTTACAGGGGCTACAGAAATACGTGTTGGATACATTGATGAATAGTTGAAGAGGTCTAGATGTTTCAGTTTTCTGTCGCTGTGTAACAAACTGCTCCGAAATGTACTGGCTTACCATAAAAATAATTTATTCTTTCTAATATGTCTGTGGGTTGACCAGGTCCTTGTTTTACCTGAATTTACTCCTGGACTCATCCAGATGGAGGAGGATCAGCTGGGCTGGAATGTGCAATGTGACCTTCCTCTCATGTCTGCAGTTGGCACTCGCTGTGGCCTGAGCTGCTTCACTTTCCTCTCTGTGGCCTCTTGTTCTCTAGTAGGCAAGGCCAGCTTCCTTGTGATGATCTCAGGGCAGCTTCCACAGAAGTAAAAGTGAGAGCCGCAAGTCCCCTTGAGGCCTTGGCCTGACACACAGCATCAGTGTTGCCTCTTATTGGCCAAACCAAACCAGAGTCCACGTGGAGAGGTCCACACAAAGGCATGAGCACAGGGAGACACAGCTCAGTGGGGACTGTTTTGTAGTGAGATGAACCATACTGAGTAAAAGAAAAATATAGGTTAGAATAAAAATCAGATTTGCCTGTGGCAAGAAGATGATCTTGCCGAGAGGTGAAGCACACAGTCAGTACTGAAATGTCAGCTCTGCCACTTCCTAGTTCTATGATCTTGATCAAGTTTCTTGGCCAGTTTGTGTTTCTGCATCATTTTCTGTTCAATGAGGATAACAACACTGCCCTTAAAGGTTTGTAATGAGTTTGAAGTGAGTTAATACAAAATGCACCTAATTACCAAGTGTGGCCTATGGTAAATACTCAAATAAACGTAAGCTATTGTTATTCATTTTATAGTTCTGCAATGGTGGGTGAGTTAAATTTGGTTTTAAGTTTTCCACTTCTGAGGCAAAGAGAGAAAAATACCCAGGTACAAGATTTGTAGTGTGCTTAAGTTGAGAAGACATCATGGGTCAGAAAAAGCTGTGCTGTGTCTAGCACATTTGGTTTTGAATGCAGCAGATTTGGGTTAGTCTGCAAAGACTGACATAGAGGAGCTCACTGTAAAAATAAATACATTTTTTGCCGGGCCTGGTGGCTCACACTTGTAATCTCAACATTTTGGGAGGCCGATACAGGTAGATCACGAGGCCAGGAGTTCGAGACCAGCCTGACCAACATGGAGAAACCCCATCTCTATAAAAAATACAAAATTAGCTGGGTGTAGTGGCGCATGCCTGTAATCCCAGCTATTCGGGCAGGAGAGGCTGAATCTTAGCCAAGGCAGGAGAACTGCTTGAACTTGGGAGGTGGAGATTGCAGTAAGTGGGATCTCACCACTGCCTTCCAGCCTTGGCAATAAAAGTGAAACTCCATCTCAAAAGAAAATTGTATTTTTTTCCCAGAGCAAATGGTTAGAGGCAACACTGCCTAGAGGTTAGCAAGTCAAGCCTGACTGGTCAGGATCCCCAGACCTTCTCTCTCTTGGCTGAATGAACTTGGGAAAATCCATTAATCTCTTCAGTGTCCAGCTTCCTTGTCTGTAAAACGGGCATAATAATAGTGCCTACCTCACGTGGGCAGAGGGATTCATCACATAAAGTCTTAGTCTATTGCCTGGCACGTATCACTCAATGAATGTTTGTTTTTATTGTTATTCGTTGTACAGATGAGTTTAAGGGAGATTTTCTCTTTGCTGTAAGACAAACTCTCTGTGTACTCTTCACAGAGGGTTCGTGCTATTAAGATAAATCACTCCTGTCTCTTTCTTAGAGGCACCTTGACTTGCAGATACTGTAATGAAGTAATAAATCAATAATAGAAATAATCAAATAAGAAAGTAATAATCCTTGCATTCAGGCTTCTTGTTAATTCTTTGCTATCCCCCAAATTTCCAAGTTAGTGAGCTTTATCATTTTTATGATTTATTTTGTTTTATTTTATTGAGACATGGTCTTACTGTGTGGCCCAGGCTGGAGTGCAGTGGTGTAATCATGGCTCACTGCAGCCTCGACCTCCTGGACTCAGGTGACCCTCCCACCTCAGCCTCCTGGGTAGCTGGGACTATAGGCACACACCACCACATTGGCTATGTTTTGTATTATTATTATTATTATTATTATTATTTTTGTGGAGAGAGGATATTGCTATGTTACCCAGGCTGGTCTCAAACCCCTGAGTTCAAGCAATCTGCGTGCCTGCCTCAGCCTCCCCAAATGCTGGGACTATAGGCATGAGCCACTGAGCCTGGCATTTTAATGATTTTATTCTCCACGGAACTTCATAGATACTGACTATAAACAGCTCCAAACACCCTTCAAGGACTTCCAGAAATTCATTAACAGGGTCCAAACCATGGGTCTGTGCCTCTTCTTAGATGGCTCCTGTCCACATTTCCAAAGGTCTCGGACCCCCAGTGGTGTGAAGTCAGGTTCATTATTCGCTCTGCCTCCGGGGAAGTTCCCCACTTCTCCCTTTGCCTCTTGCTTTCAGTCTGATTTATGGCTTTAGAAGGTTGGCCTGGAGAGTCTTAATTTAAAGCCTCTGTCAGAGGTTGTTACATGAACGTGGTGCCGGTAAAAAGCTGTTTTTCTTTGGTTTTGCTCCTCTATTGCCTCTTTCATGGCATGAAATACGAGGTAGGAAAATAAGGCTACCAAATTGGGATTGGGGGAGCTATTGAAAAATTCTTGCATAATCCCCTTGAAGTTGCCATGGTACCTTCCCAACCAGGGGCTGAAGTCAACATGCTGGATCTTTAAGCCAGGTTTCCCAAGGCCCCTCTCCCTGATCAGTTTCTGTCTCTTTCCTGCCTCTAGATGCTGTTCTGGTGGTAGTCACAGTTGGAGGCAGAATCCCAAAGCTGATGTCTGTCAGCTGTTTTAAACTTCATTCTTCCTGCAGCCAAGGAGATTCTGTTTAGCTTTGCTATATTTACATTATGAAAACAGTAGTTTTTTTTACTTCCCAAATTCAAAATTATATTTTATATTTTAAGAGTGAATATGCTCTACCTACCTGCCTCCTGGCCCTCAGATATTTTTATGTCCCTAAGGAAATAGTCCTTTAACCCTGCAATGAGAATCACTGGGCTATTGTTTTTGAGCATTTTCCTAGCAGTGAGATGCAGCGTTATTTTCCTATCATCTGACTTCTCAGTAAAACTGCATTGAGCTACCTTGTGTCTCTGTGTACACCTACGGTTTGTTTAGCATACATGCTTTACCTATATGTGTGTCATGAACAGAGCCATTATTTCAGGGAACTTGGCTTTTTAAAGTGAAGTTGATTGCTTGGGCTGTCGTTCAGTGCACAGCATGATTCTCCAGGTTGCTGATACCAAGTTCCTGACTCTGAAGAACGGTATTTTTGTAACATGCTGTAATCATTCAGTGGGATGCCCAAGACTACATTCCTTTCAACTTCTTCAAGAGAAGAGTTGTAGAACAATGCTATGAAAAAAATATAGTAGGTAAATAAACAAGTAAATGAAAAATGAGGTAATAGTACAGGTTTATGATATGATTCTTTTGTTATCAAAAAAGTAGATGTGGGCACCTGTATTTCCATGTATATATGTACATAAAATCTAGGGAAGGTACAGTGTTTAACTCTGGTGGGATTATAGGTTTTTCCAAAGTTTCCTTTTTAAAACTTCTTTATGGTAAGAAACCCAACACTATTTATTTTTAATAATTAAAACAAAAAGAAAACCAGAAAAAAAAAACGGAAGCCAAGCAGGCTCAGTGGTTGATTGGGAAGAATTTTCAGGTAAGCAGCTGTGCAGGTGTGAGACACCCTGGAGCTGTCCATGCTGGACACAGGGCACCATGCACTGTCTCAGCCTGGGACTGGCTCGGGGGAAACCAGGTTTGGCTGTTCAGACATGCTCATGTGTTCCTGAGGCTGCTGAGTGCAGACACCTTCTGGCTGGGCCTGTTTTCTCTTCCATTGGATGGAAGCAGCGTTGTGTAATTCACCGAAGCTCACTCGGCCTGCTTTGTCCAGCACATTGGAGGATGGGGAGGAGCCAGGGTTGGACCTTGTTTCTGCTCCTCCTGGGCACTGAGCGTCACTCCACATGAGGCTTGTGGCCACGGCTCCATCCTGCTGTGTCTGGACTTGGAAAGGTCTACATGCAGAGGCATTCCTGCATCGGTTCCCAGGGCAGCCAGCCTCCTGCACCCTCCTCTTTTGCAGCCAGTAGACAGAGCATCAGCAGGAGCCACTCTGAAAACAGTGAGACATTTCACCCTCGGGGCAAGCTGCCACTCTGAGAAGGGACATCCCTGGAGTCCCTGGCTGGCTTGTTGCTGCAGTTGAACCTACTTTGTGGGAATGCTAATGAATGCTGGCCCCAGAGATGGCCATGGGGAGGTTCTGAACCTCCAGCCCCCTCAGCATGGCGCTGACATGGGAGACAGCTCTCCATGGTAATTCATCAACCAGGCAGCTCATCAGTTCCTTGGGTCCAGACCTGGTCGTTGCTATTTACCTTGGGTGCTGGTCACAGAAGACAGGAATGTTAAGTTATAGGAGTGATAATCACCACAGGCTGTGTCTTCCTTTGCAGAGAAAGTCCACTCATGTGACCAGGAGAGGCAGAGTGCCCTGGAAGAGGCTCAGCAGAATCCCCGCGAGGGTATTGTCATCCCTGAGTGTGCCCCTGGGGGACTCTATAAGCCAGTGCAGTGCCACCAGTCCACTGGCTATTGCTGGTGTGTGCTGGTGGACACGGGGCGCCCGCTGCCTGGGACCTCCACACGGTAAGCCCCCTCGGGCTGGGTCCTGGGAAAAACGGACCTGCTGCCTGTTATGCATGCTGGCATCTCCCAGCATTCCTGCCCTGCTTTGGTGGGAGTTGACCCCCTGGGAGAGCAATGATTTCATTCATGAGTAGAAGAGCTTCAGGTAGGAAGACCCTGGGACCTGAATTCTGCTCACAGGCCTGTCTCTTTCTAACTTAAGACCTTGGAACAGTACTTAACCTCTCTGAACGTCAGTTTGCCCTGTCTAAGCCATTGGGTTCCATGGATCAAAAGATACTGTGTGCAGCTCGAGCATCATTGTTATTATGCTTGAGTGGTTGAAATGACATGCTTGAACATATCTCAATGGAAACACTAAGATTCCATTGATTCTAAGATTGCCTTGTAGCTGCCGAACAGCACAAGGAATATCGTACTGCCCACCCTTGGTGCTTTAGGCTTGGTGACAACAGAGATCACTGCTGGGCAGTAGTGACTGAAGTAGGCTCAGTTGCCAGCCCCTTCCAACCCCCATATTTCTTTTCCCAGCTACGTGATGCCCAGTTGTGAGAGCGATGCCAGGGCCAAGAGTACAGAGGCAGATGACCCCTTCAAGGACAGGGAGCTACCAGGTGGGACACGGTGCTGCCCCTGCCGGCGCCTTCACCTCCTTCTCATCATGTACCCTCTCATCGTGCAGAAGAAGCCCTCTTTTCTTTGTTTCCCGTGTGTGAGACGGAGCCAGGAGCCCATGGGATCCGCATCCCGGTCTGGGATTTATTCCTAATTAGCTCTGTGCTCTTGTGGATGTTGCTTCTCTTCCTTGTGCCTCTTCGCTTTATAATGTAGTCATTACATTATAATGACATTACATTATAAGGTAATGACAGAGACAGGTTAAAAGTTTGTCTCTGCAGTTCTGCAATGCATTGTCCTTCTGAGGTCCATGGGGACAATGTTTTGGGCACTGTGAGTTATTTTTTCCAGGGCTGTGAGGATAAGATAGCTTACAGGGAAGGGTTGTCCTGAGAGATGTGGACAGTGTCTGTTGCCTGCTCTGAAGAGGCAGATGACCCCTTGTGACACAGGACAACCAAGAGTGTGACACAAGACATATAGGCAGGGCCCTGGGACCTCCAAATGACTGCCGTGCGGGTTTCTCCTTATTTATAGTGGTCTCTGCCTGCAAGTTACAGTAAAATTACTAAATATTAGTGGTTTGGAATCCTGTTGTCTTTACATAGCACAAAGTCAGATCAGCACTGGTGGGAAATCACCCCATCACAAGAATGGAGTCATGGTGGCCAGGATACCCCTTTTAGCCATCCCCTCAACAAATGTGAATTTGAGATGCTACTATGTGCCAGGCACGGGGTATAATCTAGTGGTCAAAACTGACATGAGACTTACAGAGTCGAGACAGATTGGAGGCAAATAAATGAATATGGGCATTTATAAACAGTCATGGCGGATACTCTGAAGGAAAAGCGGAATGTGCTGTGGGAATGGCAGGGAGAACCTGCTTCAGATTCCACAGAAGCATGTGTTGAACCTGAGACCTGGAGGATTTGGAGAGAGAAGAGAATAAGCAAGTTGCTGTGGAGAGGAGCATTGGGAGTAGCGCAGAGGGCCCATTTGGTGCTGGTGATCGTGACTTTGTAGGACAACCATCTATCCAATTGTCCGGTGGTGTTTTCCCCAGATACTTGGTATAGACATGGAAAAGACTATCTATGAGAAGGTTCATCTGTGCTTTACTGTGTTTTGCTGGAATAGTGCAAGGAGGAAAAGAGGAGCAAAGGACTTGGGGGTATTTACAAGAGAGATGCTATAGTTATAATCTAAGATGGTTGAGGAGGGAGGTGAAAACAGAAGGAGGCTCTTGGATGGATCCAGTGGTAGGTATACGTAAGTCAACTTTGACCACTGGGGTTCTCTCCCTCCCTTGTGCTCCTGCAGCTCCTGGTTCCTCCCCCTAGCATAGTATTTTTTCTCACTTTAGGATGACTGCTTGGCTATTAGCTTGAGTTCTCCTGCAGATACGAACTTCACCAGGATAAGGACCTTTTGTATTGTTCACTGCTGTATCCCTAGCGTTTAACTTAGTGCCTGAGTTGATGTCTAGCAAAAATGTGTGGAATGGAAGTAAACTGAAAGCATTATTTGGTCTGATGGTCTTTTGTGGGGTATGGGTAAAGGAACTATGGACGTTTATGAGACTCATCTGATCTGTAAACAAATCCCTAAAGTGGATTTGGCTAGACAGGAAGGGCTTTGAGAAGTTTAGGTAAGGATGGTAGTTGAGAAAGCTGTTGACTTGTTTATTACCTGGCATCTGCCTTCAAATCTCATTTTATCTTTTAGGCTGTCCAGAAGGGAAGAAAATGGAGTTTATCACCAGCCTACTGGATGCTCTCACCACTGACATGGTTCAGGCCATTAACTCAGCAGCACCCACTGGAGGTGGGAGGTGAGGATATAGCAGGACTCAGGCTCAAAAGGGAATGTGAAGGCCCTTGACTTTTCAGATGCTGAGGGCAGTGGGAGGGCAAGGACTGGAAATTGATCTTTTTCCTGAAACCACGTACCCATAGCTTTGACCCGCCTTCTGCTGAAAATCTTCCTGTTCCTCTACCTTCCCTATTCTTTGGGAGCTACTTGCCCTCGCCTTGAGTTACCTGATTTATAGGAAAGTCCAGGGCTGTCTGGGACTTCCAGCTGTGTAATCTCAGAAGGTGGTGGGTTGGAGTGAGAGTTCTGAATGGCCGGAAGGATGATGGGCATATCACGGGGACAAGGAGGGCAGAGAGGAAGCACAAAGCACTTTGTGATTTTCTTCTCTCCTGAGAAGACAGGAACCAAATGCCTTTTTGATCTCCTGAGAATTCAAGGAGCTCTTGGCAATGTGATCGGACACTCACATAGCCAAATCCAGCTTAGGTCAGGAATCGAGGTGGCAGCTGAGGCAGTCCTGACATGAGGCTGAAAGGCATATGCTCCCCGGTAACCAGCATCGCTGGCACTCATGAGTTTGGGCCCATTAGGCCAGTCGGTTGGAGATGCACATGTGCATTCATCCACCACTTACCACCTTCTGAACATGGAAGATGCAGCAAACGCTGAGCTAAGGAAGAGGTATCTGGGGATAGGAGGCATGTCCCACTTCAAAGGATGCAGCCTAGTGGAGATACTAGACCATAGATAGATATGTACAGACTCTGTGGTGAGTGCTAGGACAGAAGTGGAAGAACAGAGAATGGTTGTCTAACTGAGTCTGGAAGAGTCAGAGAAGACTTCCTGGAGGAGGTGATAGCTGAGCTGAGTTTTGAAGGATAGGTAGGACTTAGCAGGTCAAAGAAAAGAGAAAGCCATTCCAGGGAGAAGAAAAGAATATTGTGGCTCCAAGAAAGTGCATGTCTGTGGTTCAGTTAGGTTGTGCTGGGGTGGACAGGGGGCGGAGGAGGTAAGAGTGGTGATCGGGTGGTGGGAGAGGTGGGCGGGACTCAAATCCCGAAAGGCCTTTGAGAGGAGCCGAGTAAGACTCCTGCTGATGAAGCCAGAGCTGGAGGCACAGCAGGGGCTGGCGGAGACAAGCGGAGGAGTGTCTCTCCTCACAGCACAGGGGAGGTGGCGTAGGCTTGGCAGGGGTGAGCAGCCTGACTTTAAACATTCATGGCTCACTGGGGAGAGGGAGCTAGTCCCCCCGCATCTGCCCAGAGGCAGAGTTGTTATCAAAAAGGCAAGGAATGCCACCAGGAGAACAAGCCTAGGCCCACGGAAGGCCACCAGCACGGCTCCCTCAGTGGCGATTCGTAGGACCATGTGGTATGTATTTAGGGTAGGAGTTTAGGGCTCCAGTCCTGCGTCCTGGGGCAGGCGAGGCAGCCGTTTTGAAAACCCAATTTTATATCAAATCAAAGTGAGTGCACACAATAGCCAAGAGGTGGAAACAACCTCAATGCCCATCAGTGGATGAATAAAGAACATGTGGTATGTGTCTACGGCGAAGTGATATTCAGTCTTAAAAGAGAGAGAAATCCTGTTATATTGAGGACATTACGCTAAGTGGAATGAGGCAGTCACAAACACAGATGCTGCGTGATTCCATGTACACGAGGGACCTGAGGCCGTCAGATGTAGAAGCAGAGAGTAGAGTGCCAGTTGCCAGGGATTTTGGGGAGTTACTAACCAATGAGTATTAAGTTTCAGTAAAGCAAGATGAGGCAGTCCCAGGGATGCTACACAACACTGTCCTTGAGTTCACAGCACAGTGCTCTACACTCAGACGTTTGTTAACAGGCTAGATCTCCTGTTTGGTGTTCTTACCAAAACACATTTTTTTAAAAAAAAAAAGGAGAAAAAAGAAAAGAAGTGAGTGCCGTGGTTGCCCGTTTTGGAAACTGCTTGTTGGGTACTTGCCTGAGCCCGCCATGGTCCCGTGAGCTCTGAGGCTGGTTTCTGGCTGGGGTTCTGTTTCTGCCGCCCATGTGGGTGAGGGCCAGGCCTCCTCCAGGAGGAGCACAGCACTAAGTCTGAGAAAGATGAAGACAGAGTCCGACAGGCTCGCAGATGGGAGCTGCCCCAGGCAGCCTGTGGCACTCAGCCGCTCAGGCTCTGAGACAGAGAGGCTGGCATTCGGATCTCCAAGAAGAGGGGCGAGGGTGAATTTTGAAAAGGCATGTTCTGCATTGTTGACCTTTATGCTATTTATTTGTGTTTAGAGTATGAAAAAATACCTGTTGTTGTCCGGGTGTAGTGACTCATGCCTGTAATCCCACTTTGGGAGGCCAAGACGGGAGGTCAGGAGATGGAGACCATCCTAGCTAACGTGGTGAAACCCCATCAGCCTGGGCAACAGAGCGAGACATCGTCTCCAAAAAAAAAACTGTGGTTTCATGCAAAAACAGGCATGAGAGATTTATGTTTTACGTTTATGTTTATGTTTAGAAGAGAGGGAAAAAGAAAAAAGGAGGGTTATGGGCTTAAACATTTCTGATCTGGGAGCTTCCCACTTACATTTCCCTGCAGGCTGCTGGCACTGCCCCCAGCTTGGGGGTCCCACCTGCAGTTCTGCCTGAGTCCTAAGGAGGCAGGACTTCCAAGTGCCCCTTGGTTGCTTTCCCGAGAGCACTGAGTGATCTCCGCTGCAGGTGGGGGATGCAGATGGGCCCTGCTGCCAGGGAAAGTCAGGATTTGTGCCTTATCCTCAAATGGCAGGCAGAAGGGATTTTTACAGGCAAGGAAAGCTACGAAATTTATAATTTTTTAAATACCAGTGTGTCCTTAGGGAAGAGGCTGTTTTTTCTATTCTATTGGAAGAAGTTTCTAAAAAAAAATTGTTCCAAAATATGTTTTTCATTTTAAGCTCATATTAGCTTGACCATGCTTGGTTTCGATGGGAATGCAAGGTTTGAACTGCCTTTGGTAGTTATGTTACCTAAAGGCTGGACTTTAATCAAAAGACAGACGAGATACTCCGAGAAATAGTTTAGAAATCAAGGAAGTGGGTAGGGAAAGAAAGAGAGAAACTGCTATCCAGGAAGGGAGCCTCCAGGGTTACCAGTGTAGTAACAGGGTTTAAGGCCGTCCCAGATCTTCCCACCATATTCAGCAAAAGCCCTAACTCTGACCGGGGCTGGCCCTTCAGGACAATCTTGCCAGCCCCGCCTCTCCCCACATATTCTTCTCCTTCCCACCATTATGTTCCAGGCACTGGTTCTCCTCAGTTCTGGTTCCTCAAACAAGTCAAGCTCTTGCCTGTTCCAGGACCTCTATGTCAGTTGCTCCTAGAATTCAGTTCCCCATCTTCCCATGACTGGCCCCTGCTTATCTATTTCAATGTCACCTTCTCAAGGACCGCTCAATCTACAGGAGCTGCCTGCTCACCCTGTACCTCAGAACCCCTTTTTATCACTCAGCCTGGTGTATATCACGGTCTGATATTTTGCTGGCTTGTTGATATATTATCTGTCTCCCCAAACCCTATAAGAATTTGAGTTCTATGAGAGAAAAAACATTTTCTGTCTTCTTCTCTGCTGTATTCCCAGAGCTTAGACTAGTGCCTGGCACTGCTAGGTGCTCAATCAAACGTGTTAAATGAATAAACAGCTAGAGGGATGGGGGATAGATGGATGGATCCCTGTCTTGAGAAGACCCCTTTCTGGCACACATCAGAGGGTCTGCTGACCATCTCAAGACCAAGCGTAAGGCTGGAGCCAGCGGTCAAGTTTCCTGTGATGCTATTTTGTAACCAGGGCCCTTGGGCACCCTGGCTGGGCCCCAGGGAGGTGGGGTGCTGTGCAGACAGACCCTGGCCAGTCATCCCTCTTGTTTGATGGAAGAGCAGAGGTATGGAGCAACTGGAGGTCAGGTAGCTTGTCTGGAACAGGACTGACAGAGACAATTTGGAAGCGCAGGCTTCCTGCGTTTTGGCCTTGGTTGTGGAGTTCAGGCAGAGTTGGGGCTACAGGCATGAGGTTAACGAAGCCACATCTGATCCGTCCTGTATCCTCTCAGATTCTAGCAATTAAAGTTGGACATCAACTGAGGCCAGGGAAACAGTCCCACTTGGGGACAGTGGGAAAAAGGGATGAAAGATGTTTGGATAGTGCAGAAAAAAAGGTGTCTTCCTCCCAATCTACTTCTTGTCGGCCATGGAGATGTTGGCTTTGCATCAACTCTCACCTTTCAAACCGCTCCTGGTATGAGCTTCCTGCCAGGTTCTGGGGCATCTGAAGAAAAGGACGTAGTTTCTGGCCTGGAGGGGAGATCTAGAACAACCATATGACAGCAGTGCAAAGTTGGTGGGATAGTAGAGGCTGAGAAAGTGTTGCAGGGACCCTGGGGAAGCCAGCAAAGGCTTTTCATGGGAGCAACAGTGGAGCCCCATCTTCACTTACAAATGGGAAAATGCCTGACCTAGGTGGACCAGGGATAAGGGCCTTCCAGCAGAGGGGACCATGTGGGTGGTGAGGTGTGAACAGGGTAGGGCATGAAGAAGGAATTGTAGGAAGTAGTATGGTTTATGTTTGGAAGTCAGGATGGAGACCGGTAGGAGGTGAGGCTGCAGAGCTGGACAGAGCCCAGATGGTGCCGGGTCCTGGAATCATGCTGCAAAGCAGAAGGGGGCTGCCAGGTTAGGTGGGCATTTTTGCAGAGTCATCCTGATGGCACCGTGGAAGCAGGATTGGAGAGGAGCGAAACAGGCAGGAAGATGATAGCAGGTGCCAGCGCGAAGGGTGATGAGGACATGGAATGTGGGAAAGGGACGATTTGCTGAAGCTTTTGCAAAGAAATCGATAAAAATTTCAAGACTTGCTAGATGCAGGGAGTGGAAGAGTGGGAGCCATCTACTTCCTTTTCTGGCTGGATTTAGTAGCAAAAAGCAGTGCTGCAAAGATCTAAAAATAGGCAGAGTAGAATGGGGTGTCTGCGGAAACCCTATGGCAGGTGCATGGGAGGGGGCGCCTTGCAAATATCACTGGGTGACAGCCCCTCTCGGTGAATGTTTTCTGGGTGAGTGAGCTATCCCTTTGGCTCCTCTGGCCAGAGCTCCAGGAGGCAATGCTCCTCCTTAGATCAGCCTTCCCCTAGCACCCATAGCATTTATCAGTCCCAAAGTTAGATTTCTGAGATCTCAGCTGCACAGTCTTCTAGAGCAGGGACACCCTCTCCTGGCTCCACTCTGACCTAGGGAAAGTCAACTTTGAGGGGAGGTAGGAGGGGCTATGTGAGCCTCTTGGCCCTACACGTGGTCCCCCAAGGGGAGACTGTACTGTGGCTTCCTCCTTCCTGCCCAGTGTGGTTGCCCGTTGATGGCTTTGCAAGAAAGAGGCTGGAATGTGGCTGACTTGGCATTTCCCTGCCGCACCCGCACAGCTGGCGGGGCCTGGACCCAACTCCAGACAGGGCTCAGTTGGTCTGCTTGGCTTGGCTAGTGCCTCCAGGCCGTCCCGCCTTACCTTCTCTAAAACTGCTTAGGACAGCAGAACTGGGCCTGAGATCTTGGCCAAAGCAGGTTTCCTTGTGGTAAATGGAGCTGGCTCTCCAGCTGTGCGTTGCAGCCAAGGCCTGGCGGGGCTGAGGCTGCAGAAGCAAAACTGAAAGTGCTGCGGGAGAAGGGTGGGCTGCGCCACCTCTGAAACTGGGAGGAGGCTTTGTGGGGCCAGCTGCGGGAGGGACTTGGCTCTAGTAGGTTTCCTCATCCCTGGGGGCAGAAGTCAACAGGACAGCCACAAAAACAGCCCCGAGGTAGTGCAGACACCGGCGTTGTCTGGCTCATATTGTCTGAACCATAGTCTTCTAAAATCTGGAATTTGGTGTCATTTGGGTGTGTCTTTCCCTACCACATTCAAGGAAACTTGGATATTCGACCTACCCAGTGGGCCCTTTTAGTAGAAGTAGAACGTTACCCATGGAGAAGTCTGCAGTGTAGACAAGTGAGTGCTGTTACACTTATCCCAAGGAGCCCTCGCTCCCTCTAACGTAGGTCCCCAGCCTTTGCCTGATGAGCAGCATTGAATTCAGCGGCCCTGACCTCCAGTGGAATATGTGTGTGCTCGGGTGAGAACAGTTGGGAGCCTGAGGCTGGTGTAAGCCTGGAGCTGGGAGGAGAAGGGGGAGGTTGCAAGACTTGGGCTATGGCTTTGCTGTTAGGGTGTCGGTGGGTGATTGAGGGGGTCTAACTGTGATGGAAAGTCTCTAGCAAAGACTGCCTGAGAGACTCCTGAAGCTCTGGGGGAGGCCTCCCTACTCCGTGCCTATCCAGCACTCCCCCAGGAAAAATATCAGATTCTGTTCCATTAACAGAGGCCTCTTGGGTCTTCTTTTGCTCACACTTTCTGCTGTGCCAGCTCTCCCGCTGATCCCAGTCTTAGCCAAGAGCTTGGATAAAGCGTGGTGGGTACCTGCTCTCAACGTCCTCTGTGACTTAAGGCTGTGGCCAGGCCTGGAACTTGATTTACACAGTTTTTAAATCCATTGCCTTCAATAGTTTTGTTGGAAATAGGGAAACTAGCCCAGAACCCCTCCCAGCTGCTGTGGTTTGTCTCCCTCCATCTTCTCGAAGCATCGTGCTTAAATACTCTCCCTGGGCCACGGCTAGAGCCTCCATTCCTCCAGATCAAGAGTTTTGTTTTGTTTCTGTCTTTTTTTTAAACCTGAGTCTAGGGACTTTGAATGGGCTTTAGGGAGTCCATTACTCTCCTAAAATCTGCAGACTTCTTTGTGTATGTGCATTTCTCTAGAGAGAGAGCCTATATCTTTGTGTAGGTTCTCAGAAGGTCCACAATCCTTCATGGACTCAAAGCTGAAAAGTTCTGCTATTAATGTACTTGGAGCTTAGCCTTGCCAAAGTGTTGGATTCCAAAGATGACCCTAGGGCTATCCAGCTTACAGGCAGAGGTAGGGCTCTCTTACTCGGGGGTTTTGGGGTTGTTTTGGCAGCCAAAGGAGTTCAGAAGCAGAGAGTATCATGCTAGCTGGGAAGGAGGGAGGAAGGCAGCAGGACCCTCAGGCCCCACAGGGCAGGCTTTGGGTCGTGGCAGTGTTAGAGGGAGCCCAGAGGCACTGCTTGGAGAGGCTCAAAGTATCTCTCCCGAGGTAGTGAGCACTGCACATCTTAGCCCAGTGGCTCACCTGGGAGCCAGGCAGGGTTGTGGGCAGCAATCAGAAGCCATGGTTTCCCTGCACTGGGAGGTCCTGATGGGGGTGAAGAGAGTCGAAATGTCTTTCTGGTAAGGAGATGGCAGGAAGGGAAAGTCAGAAGAGAGGCAGGGAAAGGGGCAGGAGCCAGATGATGGTCACTCTCAGGCATGGAAGGAAACTCTTGGAGGTTGTAAAGTCAGGAAGAAGAACTGCTTCTTGCTGCAAAATAGCCCAAAGGAGGGTGGCGGAGCTCTATCAATGGAGCTGCTGAAAGTTGGACAGACGGGAGCCCCAGAAACACGTGTTGGAGGGACGCGCCTCCCCTGGCAGGGCCTCTGGGTGGGATGACCTCATCCCTTCCCGTCTCAGCGACTAAGCCTTTATTATTCCAGCCTCTAGGTAGACATTACGCTATACTGAGCCTAAAGGTTAAAGGAAGAGCTGCCTTTGCCTTGGAACTCTCATGGCTCCCTGGCGGCGGGGGGCTGAGCAGGAAGGTCCCTCAGTGCCTCCCCCATTGCCTGAGAGAACCGAGTTCCTTCCTTGGGGGCCTTCTGTCTCTCCCTCAGAGCCTGTGTCCTCCATGCTGTTTAGGGAAAGGCAGGGACAAATGGGTCACTCCCCTAACTGCACCAAAAGCATCCCAACAGAAATTTCTGCCTGTGCAGCTGGTATATACCACAGGGGTCATCTAAGAGTGAATATTGCAGGTAAAATAGGGGAAGATGGAAAACACCAGAACACTGTGTATGCTGGCAGTGACAAAATCTGAGTTCTGCAGTGAATAACTTCATGCCTGTTTCAAAGACCTCCTGAGCCTGGTTTCCATGACAGACTAAGCAGGTCTCCTAAGAGTTAGAGGCAGCTGGCAGCTCTCCACAGCTCCTCACACCTTCTGCCAGGTACTTTCTGAGTTAAAGCTGTCAGGATGAGGTCCCCCTGGCAGATCCACTAATTGCATCCTCCTGGAATCAGTCCAGGATGCCCGGAGTACCTGCCCAAGACTGAAATTCACCTAATTAGGAATAGGCATCTAACAGGGATGGATGACTGGCTTTTTTTCCCCTCATAATGTAGCTTCTTTTTACCTGAATTTGGAGGTTACTTGGGATGGGTTGAAGAGGAGGGAGTTTGCAGACTTGTTCATAGGGGAAGGGTCAGAGATGATCTTCTTTCTGGAAACCTCGCAAACCCCAGAGAAGAGAGGGTGGCATGGCAAGTGCTTTGAGTAGTTTTCCTGCCAGGAGCAGCTTCAGAATGTGCAGACGGGCCTTGAACCCTGGTCTAGGATCCCTGTGGAACAGTGAGCCCTCTGCCCCGCTTCTGACCTCTGGTATCACACACTCTGTCCCAGTGTCCTGGACACTGAGGATGTGAATGTGGGACTTCCAACCTCAACCTTATTCAACTTCCCCAGGGGAAGTGCACAAGGGCCTCGATCACATTCACTCAGTGCCCAGCCCCAGGAAAAGGAGCGTGGGGTTCGTGGGGTTCCATTCTCCTGGTAGTGATCCAGTCAGTCCCTCTATAATAAACCCATTATTGGCTTAAAAAGTTGTAAATCATAGTTATCACCCTGACTCCTTTTTGGGAGAAAATAGGACACAGCTAAGCACATAACATCGATGGGTAGGCCACTGCATACACGGAAACGTCGGTCTTGTGACTTGATGGGGAGCTGTGGTAGACATGGTTGTGACCGCCTCTGGACTCCAGGAAATGTTCTTGGTGACTCTAGTCCAGTGTTTCTGAGCAGAATCACCTGGCGGTGTTGGTGAATAGGTGGTTTCCTGGGCCCACCCCAGACCTCATGACTAAAACCTCAGGCTGGAGAGACTCATCCCCAGGCGGTCCAGGCTTTTCCAGTTTTAGAGCTTCTGTTTGTGTCTGTCCCACTTGCCCTCTTCTCTCAATTCCTGCTGCCCTGGTGTCCAGCAGTGATGGACCATGGGAACCCCACACTCCACATTCAGTTGTCATGACTGTTCTCACCTTTGTGGCTCTGTCTCATAGAGCCAGTGAGCCGCTTCGGCCAGGGGTGCACCCTCCAGGGCCCGGACTGGCACTGAGTGTGCGGTGGATACTCAGAGCACCTTCCCCAGAGTCATGTACATCCCAGGGCACATGCTTACCTGTGATGAGCAGCTTGTCTGCAGTAAGTGCTAGGCCAGGGGAAGGACCATTTGGATTCCAGCTCTGGTTTATTCAGTGAATTAGATCAAGTCAGTTTGTCTTGAGCATCCATCATGTACAAAAACATTTCCGGCTCTGTTAGAGGGCAAGACATGTTCATGTAATAAGGATCCACTTGGGGAGCCACGAGAAAAGAATTTCCCATTCTTGGGATTTGAGTCAGAGATGGCTTGATGCTGCCACAGGCCGAGCCACTCTGGGTGGACTTTGGCTTGGAGGAGCCGTTTCTACCTGACCTTCTGTGAAGTAGTCATGGCAGAGCTGATGGTTCCTGCAAGATCCTGAGTGGTGTTCTCTGGGGTGGGGGTGTTTGTCAATGGCCCAGGTTCTCAGAGCCAGACCCTAGCCACACCTTGGAGGAGCGAGTGGTGCATTGGTATTTCAGCCAGCTGGACAGCAATAGCAGCAATGACATTAACAAGCGGGAGATGAAGCCCTTCAAGCGCTATGTGAAGAAGAAAGCCAAGCCCAAGAAATGTGCCCGGCGTTTCACCGACTACTGTGACCTGAACAAGGACAAGGTCATCTCACTGCCTGAGCTGAAGGGCTGCCTGGGCGTTAGCAAAGAAGGTGAGTCCTCTCCCTGTGCTCCTGGCCTTTCAATACTTGCTCCCACCCAGGCATGGGACCAAGGGCTCTCTGATACTTGAGATCCCAGCTACTCATCTATTCAACAGTTATTTGCTGGGAGTGTGCTATGCTTCATGCAAGATGTTTGAGACAATGGTGGAATTGACTGATAAGGTCCCTATCCTTGCACAAGAGACAGAGCTTAAATAAGCACTCACATACGCCGTGGTAAGTGCTGTGAGAGTGTGCTAGGGTGGGCCAGGCTACCGTCACAAGTAGACCCATGCATCATGGCTCAACACAGTGGAAAACTTTTGTCTAGTGCGTGTAATAGTTCAGCATGGTCACATGTTATAGGGTGTGTGTGTGTGTGTGTGTGTGTGTTTGTGTGTGTGTGTGTAGGGGAAGGGGTAGGGGCAGGCATTGCTCTCTGTAGTCACTCTGGGATCCAGGCTGAGAGTGACCCATCTTCATCATATGGCTTCCAAGGTTACTCTGGGGGTCATCTCCAGCCTCAGTCAACCAGATGGAGGAGACATGAAGCAGTGCATGTGAGGGAGTTTTATGGGCCAGTCCTGGAAATGAGCCTCATTCTTACTGGTATTTCACTGGAAATGACCCTTATTCTCACTGGTATTTCATTGGAAATGACCCTCATTCTTGCTGGTATTTCACTGGAAATGACACTCATTCCTGCTGGTATTTCACTGGAAATGACCCTCATTCCTGCTGGTATTTCACTGGAAATGACCCTCATTCCTGCTGGTATTTCACTGGAAATGACACTCATTCCACTGGTATTTCACTGGCCAGAACTCGTCACTAGGAAGGCTGGGTTATATGGGCCAGCCCTGGAAATGATACACATTCCTGCTCCTAATTCACTGGCCAGAACTCAGTCACTAGGGAAGGGAACCAGGAAGAGGGCAGTGTGAATTCTGGCAAACAGCTGATCATCTCTGTCACAGTAGAGCAAGTGCAGAGCATTGTAGCAACATATATAGGGACACCCAAGACACTAAGGAGCAGGCAGCCCTGGAAACCTTTGTGAAGGAAGTGATGCCTAAACCAGGGCTCAGCAAGCAAAGGCCTGAATGCTCCATCCAGTTTGCAGCCTGCTTTTGTACAGCCCGTGAACTAAGAATGTTTTTTGCATTTGTAAAGATCTGTAAGATTTTTACGAAAGAAGACTATATAACAGGGACTGTACCTGGCCTACAAAGCCTAAAATATTTACTATCTAGTCTCTTGCAGATAAATTTGCCAACCCATGGTCTAACCCAATACTGGAAACATGAGTAGGAGGTGGCCAAGCAGACGGGTCAGGAGACTAAGAGGGTTCTAAGCTGAGGCAGACGAGGAGTGAAGCTCTGGAGGCGAGGAAACAGTTTTCAATGAGCTGAAGGATGTATATGTGACTGAAATGAGTATTTTAACAGTGATAGGAAGAGCCGGGGTGGTGACAAGAGGCAAGGTGAAGTTGGAGAGTTTTTAAATTCAAGTGAAAGAGTTTAGACTTTATGAGGGTAGTGGAAAGCTGCTGAAGGGGTTCAATCAGAATTGATAGTATCAGTTTTTCTTTAAAAAGTATTCTGGCTGCAGGGCGGGACATGGATTGGAAATGAGCAACGCAGGGTCACCCAGTAGGAGGCATGGCACAGTCCAGGCTAGAGCGATGGGGGGCCAGGTTATGAAAACACAGCAGCATGAGGGGGATGGAGAGAAATGGGAGATTGGAGATCAAGTTGGGTATGGGGCAAAGGTGAGTTTGTGCTGCTGGAGGCAGGTCTGCTCACTGAGATGCATAACATGGAAGGAAGAGCAGGTTAGGTGTAGAGGGTTGGGGGAGACCCAAGTATGGTTTGGACATGTTGAGTTGGACGCACGTGAAGGATGAGTGGCTCTGTAATGCAGGCGAAGGGTCTGAAGATGCAGATTTGGGTGATGCTGACTTATTTGAAATGAAAGTTTTGGAAAAGATGAGATTACCCAGGGAGAGAGTTTAGCAGAAGAAGACAAAAAGGCCTTTTCATTCTTCCTCAGTTGTCAGTGTAAACCCAAAGAGTAGCATGGGAAATGGATGGGTTCCCATAGGAACCTGGGCTTGGGACCTGCGCCCTCCATGGCTGTTTGTGGCCTTCGTTCTGAGGCTTACTGCTGTGTGACTTCATCACTCCGGGCATGCCTGTCTGATGAGGATGCTTCTCTGTTCCCATGGTACTCTGAGTCTCCAGGACTCAGTAATGTCATGGTTCAAACCCTGCCTCTGCCCGGTCTTGCTCTTTCACCACGTGCAGCTTGAGTGTCCCTTATCCGAAATGCTTGGGACCAGAAGTGTTTGGAACTTTTCCAGATTTTATAATATTTACAGTACACGTTCTGGTTGAGCATCCCAAACCCACAAAATCTGAAATCCGACGTGCTCCAGTGAGCATGTCTTTTGAGCATCATGTCAGCACTTAAAAGGTTTTGGATTTGGGAGCATTTTGGATTTCAGTTCAGTACAAATGACTGACCCACTCTGCATTTCAGTTTCTTCATCTGTCTAATGGGAATAATGCTAGAGTCTATCTCACAGGACTGTTGTGCTGATTAAATGGGGCAGTGAGTGAAAGCATTTCCCATAGTGCCTGAGACATTGAAATAACTCAGTTTAATATTAGCGTTCTTCGTAAGATGATTGCCTCTCTCAGTAGCACTTGTCACACTGTATTGCACTTTACTCTTCCAGTTACCTCTCTCTCTCAGTTTCTAACCTCTAGCACAGTACATGGCATCTAGTAGTTCATTAAGTCCTTGTGAAACGAATGAATAAGTGAAGGAATGAATGGATGAAGGGGTTGCCCCTTCTGGTGACATTATGCTCTGACACACTTGGAATTTGTGGTCCTTTTGCAGAGCACAGCAGATGGCCAATATCGGGAAGAGACTATCCAGTGTTCATGTAGACCCCAGGCATACCACGAGCACTCCTGGGCTGAGCGACGATGCTCTGTTCTGACCCTGCTTTCTGCCCCCTTCCCGTGCTGCTAGTCCTGGTCTGCACAGCACACAGAAGTCAAACAATGGCTGAGTGTGGTGACCTCAAGTCCACCGAGCTCAGGGAGCCCTCCTAGCCTTCCTCTGAAGCCTTTCCAGGCGCCAGGTGTCTGTCAGTCTCAGCTGACACATAGGACCTGACAGAAGCATCCAGAGAAAACTGTGAACTGGATTGTAGCATTTAGAGATCACTGGTCATCTGGATGTTCCTTCTCAACCCAGGCTCAGCTAGGAACAAGTGTTAGTTTCAGTTATCCTCAAAGCTTTGCCTACGGAGGCCCCTAGGGTGCTTTGGAATGCAACTGTCATTCTTCTTAGCCCAATACACCCTCTTGAAGCCCCCACCTCAAAGGTAGGACTATAAAGACCGGAGAGCTTTGGAATTACTGTTGACCCCTGAACACATTGCCTGGTTGAAAGTCTACCCAGAGAGCCCGTGTCTGTGACATGTCTCTGCATGTATATGCACGTGTCTGTTTGTGCATGTCTCTCTGGGTAGGTCTGAGTGTACATGTCTGTGTCTGTACATGGGCTACAAATGTGTCTTTAAGTATGGCTGTGTGTGCATATCTATACGTACGTGCGCATGCATTGTGCGTATGTCTGTGTATGTGCGTGTGTCTGCGTATGTGCGTGATGGAGTGAGGGAGAGTAGAACACTGAGAATATATAGGATCGATCAATGGGATGGGGTGAAGTGGAGGCTGAGTAGACTTAAAGCCTATGGAGAGGCAGAAAGGATTCCTCTGTCCCCACTCTCCCTTTCAATACACACCACAGGACACACTGCAATAGACCCATGCAGTCCAGAGCTAGAAGGCTCCTTGGGTTCTCTAGTCCACTTTGCAATCTAGGGGTCAAGACTAGCCGAGAGAGGGGTAGCAATTTGCTCAAGGGTACATGTGAGGTACCACCACTGCTGGCACTTGGCCCAGCCTCAGGATTCCTGGGCCAGACTTCTGTCCCCTCCATAAGAAGGACCCCAGAACGTTTGAAGATGTCGCCTTGTGTGAGCAGGCCAGTGTTGCTTGCCTGGGGAAGCCAAGAGAGTGGCCAGTGGGGAGTCCGGGGAAGTTGGGAGGGGGGCAGACTGGCCTGAGAGCAGTGTGAGCAGGAGTAGAAGGTGTTGCAGGGGGTGAGGGTGCCACTAGCAACCTGAGCTGGGAAGCCCACAGTTTCCAGGCAGGCAGTGCCTGTGGGTTGCCGTTCCACTGTTGGGAGGCCCAGGAGCAGCCTGGGAGACCATGATCAGGCACAAGTGGGGGCTGGAGAAAGAGCAGAGGCCCTGAGGTCAGACGGGCCTGGCTTGATTTTAATCCCAGCTCTGCCACCTGCCGGGTCTGTAACCCTTGGCAAGTTACCTAAACTCTCTAAGCCTCCATTTCCCCATTTGCAAAGTGGAAAAGATAGTACCTGCCTCAATGATTTGGTGAGGATTTAACCAGATAATGTGTGTGGAGAATTTAGCATGGTACCTGGTACACAGTGAAGGCACAAAAGAAATTGGTAGCAGTAGAGGAACATGTCCAGGGGCTGAAAGCGTGACTTTGAGAATTGCCTCCTCCATCCCTCTGCTCTGCGAGGTGGCAGAAAAACCCCTGGGGTGGATGATGTGCGGCGGCTTGGGAGCAGAGCCTACGCCTTGGTCCTCCATCCGGTGTCGTGCGGTGCCCCCTGGTGGGTTGCAAGGGGCTTGCATGCTAGGTGGGGGCAGAAGCCAGCTGGGGGAAGGATGCAGCGCTTGGGGACCAGCCGAGTTTTGGGTCCAAGGGACTGAATTTTTGGAAATAGCACTTGAACACAGATATTTTACCAGCCAGACTCCTCCCTGGAGAGCTGAATTCTCTGCATAACATGCCTCTTTCTTAACTTTCCCAATTTATAAAGCACCTTCACTGGGATCATTGTCACCATCCTGTGAGGCAGGTGGGGTGGGGTCTAGTGCCTTCATTTCTCAGAGCTACCAGCTCTTCTTTTGCCTTGTCTGAGGATGTCACCTGCCTGGGGCTCAGCCTTCTTCTCCCCAGTCCTCCCTGGCAGCTTGGAGCATGATACTGGAGGCAGCTAGCTGGGTCGGAATTCGCTTTGCCACATGGAAGCTGTGCCATCCTGGGTGGGTTATCTGACATCTCCAAGCCTCAGTTTCATCATCCTAAGATGGAGATAATTTTATCATTTTCAAATAAAGTCGCTCTGAGTATTAAGTGATCGGACTTAGGTAACAGGATTAGCACATAAGCCACTGCGAAAGAGAGCTGGTTTTGGCTGGCTGTCCATTTCACTTCATACCTCTCAGATTGGTGGGCAGGACTGCTGTGTGCCTCCTTTTTTGATGTGCTGACATTTCTACTTGGCATGGAGAGAAGTGGCTCTGGAGGGAATGGAGGAAAGGTGGGATTTGAAGTCAGCAGCCTGGCTCTGCCACTTCCCACCTGCCTGCCTTGGGCCTGTCACTCTCTTTCAGAGTTCATGTCCTCCTCTGTAAAATAAGGTAAACCGATATCCACCCCCTGCCCAGTCTACCCCATGTCCTGTCTCTCTTTCTCCAGTGATAAAGAATATTGGCATAACCCAGGGGACATGGAGCTGGGCTTGGGTTCTGCAGCACTGTGCACTCCTCAAAGCCCTTTCTCCTCCTCCATGAATTCAGTGGATCCTCAAGGCAATTCTGTGAAGGAGGCAGAGCAGGAGCAGTGCAGCTGTGGTTCTAGCTCCCAGGCTGTAGACCGACCCAGAGAGGTTCAGGAGCATGCACAGAGTCACGTGGCCCTAAGCATCCCAGGGCAGGCTCAGCTCTTAATGTGCTTGCCCCCAGCTCCCTGCTCCTTTTCAGGAGACCAGGTCCTGCTGGAGCAGGCATGGCAGTTTCCACAATGGCTCGGACCCTCGTGGGGAGACGTGGGTGTCAGCAGAATGAGCCTGGACTTTGTGTAAGTCGCTCATCTGCTCTGAGCCACTGCTGGATTCCTTCTACTCTGACATTCTGTGACTTAGAAAATCAAGACCTGGGACGGTTCTGCCCATGTGCATCAGCACCAGAGCGCTTCTTAGTGGACAGCTGAGGGATTGCAAGGAGGTGCCCAGCAGGAGCCAGCCTTATGGAAAAGGGACTTTGTGTAAAGGCATTGGCCAGTAATAAGTTCACCTGGGTCCATAGATGCCCACAGAGCAGAAAGCAGAGCCACACCACCTCTTTGCTCTTTCCCAACTCTGCTCTTTATTCTGGGGGTCAGAGGGGACAGGGACCCAGGATATGGGAGAAGGTGCCAGTTCTCGGGGTCAAGGCCCTTGGTGTCACATGTTCCTGGTTTGTTGCAGGTGGTAGCCTTGGCAGTTTCCCCAGGGAAAATGAGCAGGCACAAACCCATTCAGTAAGTTGGCCCTTTCTGGGCTCCCCTGTTTCCTCTGTGAACCCCCTCATGAGGCTTTGGTAGTGCAGCAGGGGTGAAGGGATTGGCCAGGTAACTTAGGCTCCCATTTTCAAGTTGTTTGCTGAGGACATGAGAGAAATATTGGGTTAGTGCCCAGGAGATTCTGCCATCCCCACCTGTAAGCACACCCCTGCCATTTCCACCCCTGCCCAGGTTGAAAGGCTGGCATGTGAGAGTAGCGTGATTTGAACAGAGTGCACACCCTGCAACCCACGCTTCCTAGGCAAAGCCTCGTTCTCTCCAATGCCAGACTTATTTCGGTTGTTGTGGTGGTGCCTCGTAGTGGCAAAGGACAGGCTGGTAAAACACGCTCATCTGCAAGTCCTGGCGACCTGTGCCCCACCTAGCCTCATAGCTGCAGCAGGTGGAAAAGGCTGCCCTAGTGGGGAAATTGATGGACATAATTGGATTTCTCACAAACCTAGCTCTAACTTCTTGCTTATATCTCCCCCAACTTTTCTTTTCTTTTTTTTCTTTTTTTTTTTTTTTGCATTCTCCTTCCTCTTCTCAGTAGGACGCCTTGTCTAAGGAGCAGAAAACCTAAAGGCAGGTGGAGAGTCCAGGAGACAGAATGGACCACCAGACACCTAACCTTCAGCGTTGCCCATGGCCCGGCCACATCCCATGTAACATAAGTGGTGCCCACCATGTTTGCACTTTTAATAACTCTTATTTGCGTGTTTTGTTTTTTGTTTCATTTTAAAACACCAATATCTAATACCACAGTGGGGAAAGTAAAGGGAAAGACTTTATTCTCTCTCTTATTGTAAGTTTTTGGATCTGCTACTGACAACTTTTAGGGGGTTCTGTGGGGGTGGGGGAGGGTGTTGTTGAGGCTGAGAAGAGATTTATGTGCTGTATATAAATATATATGTAAATTGTATAGTTCTTTTGTACAGGCGTTGGCATTGCTGTTTATTTGTCTCCCTCTCCCTGCTGTGGCTGGAAGGCGCCCTGGACACATAGTCCAGCTTTCTGAAACCCAGGACTCCATCCGGGGCCTGCTAAACTTCTGTTTGGAGACTGACCCTTGTGTATAAAGAGAGGGGAGTCCTGCAATTGTACTGCGGACTCCATGAGTTCTTTTCTAGTGGGAGGATTGCATCGCCGCATACCATTAGTTGTCAAAATTGACAAGTCACTTGGCCCTTGGCCTGCGCAGTGAGGTCGGGCTGAGGAGAGATGAAAGTGCCCTTGGAGAGGAAGGGAGTCCAGATCTCATGAAAGCCTCACAGGTACCAGCTCTCACAGGGTCCATGTGTTCCTGCTCTCCAGACCCCCAGAGGACCCAGCGTTGGTGGTTGTACCAGTATCTTAGTGACCCTCTGAGCAAATTATCCACAAAGGATTTGCATTACATAACTCGAAACATTTTCATCCATGCATCTACTCTGTATAAAGCATGAGAGGGGAGGCAAAGAAGAGAAAGACACACAGCAGGGCCTTTTAAAAAGCAGGTGTTTAATATCTAAGCAGGGGAGAGGACAGGACAGAAAGCCTGCATGAGGGGTGCAGCGCCAACGGGAACTTCACCTCCCTGCAAACCTACCAGTGAGGCTCCCAGAGACGCAGCTGTCTCAGCACTGGGGGCAGAACCAGGTGTGATCTCTCCTCTCCTCCATCTCCCGCTGTCCTGGTGGCCCTCACAGGCCGAGTGGGTGGGTTGGGGGTGGTGTCAGTCACCCTGTTGGTAACATTATAGTTGTTTCATTGTTTTTTATTTTAAACCCAATACCGACATTCTTCCTGTTCCCTCAAGTTTTCTTATGGGTTTCCAGGCTTTAAGCTAATTCCAGCAGTAAAACTGATGTTGGGTTTCCTATTCTGCCTCCCCCAGAAGGGCAGGAGTGATAACCCAGCTACGGGGAAATCCCCGCCCAGCTTTCCACAGGCATCACAGGCATCTTCCCAGGACTCCAGTGTGGGTTGCCCGGCCTTCGGGTTCGAGGCACAGCTTCCTCTGCCCAGGTGCTGTGCCCATTCAAGTGGCCCTCAGACAGAGCAGCAAGTGGCCCTTAGTGCCTCTTCCCATGAGCAGCTTTGGTGGCAGTGAGGGAGGTCAGGTAGCCCTGGACTGGTGCCCTTACCGGCTCACCCTTGCAAATCTGGCCTCATCTTGTATTCCATCCCTGCCAAGTGCCTCCACCTTGGCAGACTGTGTATCCTCTTCCGGGTCTGGAAGGCATTGGCACCAGAGGCACTGCCCCTGCGGGAGGAGCACAGCCTTTTCAGGACATACTCTGATGGAGTCTCAGGCTGGAGGAGGTCCCTGCTATCCTGGAGAAAGTCCTAGAGGTTGTTTCAGGAATGACAGGGGGCCCCGCCACGACGTGGCAAGGTGGAGAGGAAGCCTCCTCCTGTTAGCCCCAGTGAGAGAACTCAACGTGCTGGAGCTGGATGGGCCTTGCAGGAAGACTCTGGCCTCACTTTCAGGCCTGGAGGAAGCATGTGCACCTGGAGATGGCGCCTGCCTATAGATGTTCGGGACCTACACGATCTCCCAGGCTTCTTGTCTCCCACAGGATCATGTGTGTAGGCAATGTTGTGTGGTTTTCCTTTGTGAAGGAGAGAGGGAGACTATTTGTAGCTTGTTTTATAAAAAATAAAAATGGGTAAAGCTTGGTGGCTGTTGCCTCTTTCTTTGGGTGGTTTCCTCTAATGAAAAGGCTTGATTTCCTAGAAAGCTTAGTTCGTTTCCCTGGCCTGGGGTCCCTCCACTTCCATCCAAGGATATCTGAGGTGCTGCCAATGATGAACTGAGCAGGGGTCCTGAACGTGGTCACTGGGTGGTACTGCACTTAGAGAGGGGACTCCCTTGCTCACAGTGTTAGTGCACTCTCTGTAATTCTTCCTCTTACCTCCACCCACGCATCTGCCCCACCGGATGCCCCTCCCCGATTGCCACTCCCTTCCTCTCACTGGAACATCGGGAATGTCGCTGACAGAGCTTTGGGGACAGGGCTGCGGGAGGAGCCTATTCCACGGCTTCAGGCTGTTGAAAGTGCGTACATTGCTGCCATCCAGATGACCAGACGCCAGGCTGAGATGTAGCCATAGGTGGGGAGCAGACTCTAGTGGGGATTTTCAGTCTGTGCCCCAGTTGTGTGGGGTGTGTACTCTGGCTGAGGCTGCAGGTCTGGTTTGCAGAGCTGGAGAACTCCCGGACGAGGAGTAGCAGCAGGGATGGAGGTTCTGGGGTTTCTCTTGCACGACCAGCCTCTTTTCCTTTTTTCCTCTCTGCACACACAACTGTCCCTGGAAATGACCTCCTCAACCACCCCCTTGAGAACCTTCTCCAGATTCCTTGTGCCACACTCTGCCCCCTCACCTTTGCAGGTGAACAGAAGAGAATTCCTCTTGTAAAACTCTCCTCCAGCATTTTCTCCAGCTAGGCTTTCCTGGGACAAGGTCTAAGTCCTAGAATATGGTCACACAGGCCCCTCCTCATCCAGGGCTGGTCCTTCCTCAAAGCTGAGAAGAGAGGACAGGTGGTTCACTGCATGCTTACCATGTGCCAGGCACTGGCTGCTGCATATACAGGCCCTGTCATACGTATGGAATACCACAACCCAGTGACACAGGCATCACTGTTCTATTTCCTAAGTGTGGACTCAGACTCAAGAGTTCAGTGACTTGCTGGGGCAACCCAGCTGAAAGGGCAGAGCAGGAGTCATCCTTAGATTTTCTGACTCCAGACCTGGAGTTCAGCTCACTGCTCGCTGCCTTACTTGAAGTGTTAGAACTGCAGCTGCCTCCTACCTGTCCAGCTTGGGCCCTGGTGGAAGTTCCAACCAGCAGTGAGTGCAAAAGAGCAGTTAAGGTTCTTATTAAAAGCCACCACTTTGCTGAGGCCTGAATAGGCTTCTGGGATTTGGGGAAGAGAAATAAGGCAGGCATTTGTCCCTGCAGGACTTCACTCGGAGGTTTAGGGTTGACCTTGCCTCCAGCAGAGAGCCCCCAGTCTGGCATGGGAAGAGGGAGGTCTGAGCTCACACTTGACTGTGGGGCAAGCTGCAGCCCCCTTCTGCCTTCCCTGTGTTCACCAAGGACAGTAGGACCAAGAGGCAAGGAAAAGTGCAAGATAGAGCTATCCTGTTTCTTCCTCTACCTGCAGATTCCTGAGCAATGTGCCTCTGTGGGGCAGGTAAGACTAGGGATATTTTTAGTCAGGATGCTGAGAAGTAATTCCCACTGGGGCCAGGCATCTTTACAGGGCCGCTGTGATGCCAACAAAGAAGGAGTCCCAGACCTGAGAGTCTGCCTCCTCCAAAAGGCCCATCCTTACTCCTGGTCCCCAAAAGGGTCCAAGTGGGATGGGAAGCTGGAAGAACACACCGCCTTGTAGATCAACAACAACAACAAAACACCAAAAAATAACAAATAAAAACAACAAAACAAAACTAAAACTAAAAAAAAAAAAAAACAAAAAACAAAAAACCTAGATCGCCAGGCTGTTCATCTGGCCATTTAATCCCAAGTTCCTGAATGACCTGCAAGGCCACAGTCGTGCCCACCAAGGAGGCTGAAGACCTTCCAGGCACCCCGACCTTCTGGTCTGTGGCATTGGGGCTTTTTCTACTACACAGGTAGAAGTAGGTGAAACTTGATGTTTTCATGCAGCACTGCTGAATCAAGCTCTCAACCCTAGGGCCTGAGCCAACATTCCTCTTGTGTGCCTTTCATGAGTTGATAAGGGAAAGGGCCATGACCTCGGTTCCTGCCTGCCTGCTCCTGTAAGCGTCTGTGCTATGTATGGGGCACAAGTCTCCCTTGTCATTTCTTGTCACGTCTTGGTGGGGCACTCTGGCCAACTCTTTTTTTTTTAATGCCATAAGTTTATTTACACACATATCTAGTATGCCATATGAGTTCAAGTTTGATCCATTTTCCAGACACTGCACCTCTCAAAATGCCCTTCACAGCTGTTAAATGGATGAACTGAAACACTCCTCTACGCACCCTCAACCAGCCTCTCACCCAAGCAGTCCCTGCTCCCCTCACACTCTGCACTGCCCCCTTTTTCCTCTGTCAGCATGCACTCTGTGAAAGCTCTCTTGTCTGTATCCTCCTAGCCAAAGCACTGACTCTAGCTACTGGTCAACCTCCTGTATGTGGCACCCCAGACCAGGCCTGTCTACTAGTGCAGGGCTACCCTGAGAATTCACACACTTGATGGTCACAGGCACTGCATACTTCGATGTGGTCTCTCCACACGATGATGGACTCATTGCTCAACTGCTCAGAAGCCTCAGTCAGGAAAGACCAGGATAAGCTGCAGTAAGCACACTCCTCCAACCTCCCAGGCTCAAAACAGAAAGGTGTTTTTCTCACTGCTGTGACACAGCAGTGAGATAAGAAGGGTAATGTACTCAGCACAGTGCCTAGTACAAAGCTGGAGCTCACTATCTGTCAGTCATCCCCCTCCTTCTTTGCATCATCAGTGAGCATGGCACTAGGAGGAGCCTGAAAAATCCCCTGTTCTAATGGTTATACATGAAAAAATCTAAAATCTCAATAGATAGGCAAAGTGGCCTTCTCTAGGTCAAACATTTAGCTTGTGGTGGAGCCAGAATTAGAATTCACTTCTTTCAACTCCTAATTCAGTATTCTTAATAGCCATTGCTTTGCTATGCACTTAAAGAGGCATATAGCATATATAGATGGGAAAGTCTATTAAATGATGGAAAGAAGTGTGTCTACTGAGACGTTGAGTAGTGCACGGTGTCAGATCCTAGAAAGTGAGTTGTTTAAGAAAAGGTATGATGAACTATACCTGATAAGGCAGTGAAATGAGGTAGAGATAGCGTGATGGGATGCACATGCCATTGCAAAAATGTATAATGTGGGCTGCATTATGGAGCAATAACTTCCAAAGGAAAGCTAAGGATGGAGGAACAGATCAATATCAGCAGCAAAACCACACAGTCTGGCAGGAAAGGCAGGGCCAGTGGAGAGAGCACTTACTACAGGGGTCCTCAGCCTCATTTTGCTGTGAACTAGCTGTGTGTCCTTGAGCCATTGGCTTCACCTCTCTGGGCCTCCTCAGTGTCTTTTTGCCGAGGAGTTCTTACTGTATGTAAGAACTCTTTGCTAAGCCTGTTATCTTATAAAATCATTGCAACAACTCTATGTGATATGCAGAAATCTCCTGCCCGCCTCTCTAAGCCGTTATTCTCCCTTCTTCGCCAGCTGTGTGCCCTGCCTGGGGCACTGACTCCTATGCATGGAATCCATTGTGCATGACAAGGCGTCTAATGGGAGATGGGAGAGTGGGAGTTGGGGGAGGACAGGGTGTTTATTCCCTGTAAGGTTGTCTTGGGCTGGCTCTGTTTTTGGACGGAAAAGTATCACTCCTCTCTAAGAGGTCTATCTACCTGATTCTCTCTCCTTCTCAGTTCCTGAAACCTCTCCTCCCCTGCCACTTGGGTCTAGGGGTGGTAATAGCCCCACTGCCACTAGCCCTGCATTTCCAATTTTCTGTCCACACCTTTGGACCATTCTAATTCAAATATCGCATGTGTTTCTATTGGGATTCTGAGTGATACAGAACTGACGCTGGAGGAAAGAAACTCATAAAGCGGAACTCTGGGTTTGGGTTGGTCATGAGCAGCTCAAGGATAGCTTCCTTGATGAGGGTAAATAGGACCCATGGCAAAGGGTGGCATGATGAATACTCACATTATCGCTGAATGGGGCAGAGAATAAAGTGGAGGGCAATGTGCTGGGAGATCAAGCGGTTCTAATAGTTCGTTCCTAGGGCAATTGCAGTGATTTCAAAACTTATGGCATCACCTGATTCTTTGTATGACCCTAGAGAACATACAAGGGGGAAAGGACAAATTAAAAGCTGTGAATATGCACAGGAATAACTGGAATTCCTTCCAGGAAACTTTAAAGAAGTCTCTCCTCTCCTATAGCTGCAGGAACCATGGGGCTATAGACCAAGCCCAAATTGCAGCATTAGTTAAATGCTGGACCCCATTAGGACTCTTCAGGACACAAGCAAGGAAGGAGTAACACCAAATAACATATGACTTAACCTACCCATGTAGAACTGGGTACCTTATCCATTAAATTATAAAACTGAACTTGCTCGGAAATACTCCATTACAAAATGAAAATGGTACGTATATAGGGAAAACAGCCCCGTCAGGTCAAGAAAGCACAAGTAACCTGCACAAACAGGTGGTTTTGACTCCTGTGGTAACTCCAAGTAACAGCTTTGCTGCCTTTCCATCAACCGTACTTTGACTTCATGGGGAACTCCCAGTGACCAGTGAATAAATGAGGAAAAAGCATGAACCTAGTTCTGCACGGTATGCCAGCACCAGCCAGAAGTGGACAGTGCCATCTATAGCGCTACTCATGGATGACCCTCAAAAACAGTGGTGGATGGTAATCTTCCCAGTGGGCAGAACTTCAGGCTGTACATTGAACTGTCCACTTGGGCCTGAATCATGGATCTACACCAACTCATGCAGCAGATGATGGGTGACTGCCTCATTGAGGACTTGAAGCTAATTGGTGGCAAGAAAAATTAGGAATTTAGGAATTCTGTGTGTGGAATGGGGCCCATAGTGCCCCACACAAATGCCTATCAGAGAGCAACCATGGTGGTAGAT